TGATATATATAATCAAGGCAGCGTACGTGTTCCTGGTTAATTTATTCTACAAAGTGCAGATTATTAAGTCTAGTAACAAAGATAATTTGCACTACTCAACTCTTTAATCCTTATTTTACAGCAACACTTTAATAGATCGATGAAGACGATTAATACTGAGTAGTCAGTACATAGTTCATTTCTTTACCTACTATGTTTACCCAGTCCGAAAGCATCTGTTGTAAAATTATAAAAAAGTAAAAATAAAAAGCAGTTGTTGTAAAAAAAAATAAGTCCATTTGCACAACTAACCACAGGCCAATTTCTGGGAAGCAAGTAGGTTATTGATGAATTTCTAATTAAAAATTTGTTAGGATGTGTTTGGTTTTGATAGAAAATAAGATGTAATTTCACAGAATTTACAAAGAAATTAAACCTCTGTTTTTCTTTTATTCTCTAAAAAACCAAAACCAAATACCCTTATCTTTAATTCACTATCATGATATCATCATCCAATGGAAGAAGTGTGTTATCTTAATTTTAATTTTATTGTCAGGCAGTTAAGGCATCAACCTTAACTAAGCTAAGCTCACCTACTTCTACTACTTGTAATAATAACTACCTCAGATTTGGTTTACCAAAACTCGCGTACCACAACTAAAGAAGATGCCGGATACCGGCCGAAACAAGAAATAAAATAATTAGCACGTGACGTGATTCTAAGAGATGAAACGTATCGTATGTGTCCACTCGTCACCAAAATTTTAAACAAATACAATGAATCAATGAAACGGGCCAGAGTAAAAAAATCGAAGAAACGTAAACGGGCCAGCACAACTACACAAGTGCTTACCTCAGTTCATCATCTCATCTGTCGTCACCGTTCCGATCGATCGATCGACGGACTTCAAATTTTAAACGCTGGCTTGGCTGGTCATGGGTCACATCTCACATCCGAAATTGTAAGTAAGCCGTTGGAGTTGGAGAGCTACACTACACCTGATGATGTATATTTGTTTTGTTCGCGTGGTAGTAAAATAAATTAATTAAATATTTGAGTGGGTTTTCGATCTATCTGTTCATTGATCGATGTTGGTGTATTATAAGGTTGTTCTCCACTAACGTCTGAGTCCGAGTCACCGTGTGTGTTGGTGGACCGGTGTAATTAAAAAGGCCCTGCACCTCCTTTAAGGCAAATCGTTTCCCCAAGACTTAAGTAATTAATTTGTCTTTACTACTACTGAAACCTTCAGACCTCTCCACCAATTAATCAACAGATCTCATTACACAACCACTCTGCTGCACTCAGCAGACTTGGCTTGCGAGTTGCGAGGCATGTTCAACTGCTATTAATCCATCGTCAGTTATCTATTGAAAATATCAAGATTATACTTTAAAATAATATGTTTTTTATTGTCTTTTCTATTGAGATTGAACCGGTTATCTTTAAAAAAAGAAAAAAAGAAAAAATATATAAAATATAATAGAAGAAAATAATAACCGAAAAGCAAAGAAATAAGTAGACAAAAATATGTTTAAAGATATAAAGATAGAAGACAATGACTTCATTAATTTAACATCTCAGACACCTCAATTGGTTCAAATATCAACTTATCAAGGTAGAAGATAATGGATAGCGTCTTCTTTTGAAGGGTAGTTATGACATTTTCAATAGATAACTGACATTAGATTAATGGCAGGGACCAACTTGACACTTTTTGAAAGCTTAAGTACTACAGTGACACATTCGAAAGTTTGGTTACTAACTTGGCACTATCCACAAATTTCAGGGTACTAAAGTGGAATTTTCCTTTAATTTTAATTAATTCGTCAAAACTCCCAGAAATTACCCATGTAAAAAGAATGAAGTTTACATAAAGACTGAGGGGGAGGGGGTAGCTCGGCCCCTTACATCATTTAAATATTAATCTGTGTATTATCAGAGGGGAAAATTCCCGATGAGTGCCCCATACTTTGGGTCTAGTGTCACTTTGGTCCCCAAACTTTAAAATGCAACAATTCAATACCCGGACTTTCAAAACGTGACAATCCAGCACCTGCCATTAACTAGCAGTTAATCAATCGTTAGGTGATATTTTAAAAAGACATGTCCTTCGAGTGTCATTTAATTTTTTTATCAACTATCCAAGCATTGACAAAAAAAATTAATAATTTCAAATCCTTGCCTCTTTTATTCAAGAAAGTTGGGGTCACTAGAATGCCCACTCAAACGTAATCCTATCTTTCTTCAATGGAAGAAGCAAGGATTCGAGATTATTAATTTTTTGTCAGCATTTGGATGGTTAATAAAGAAAATTAAATAACACTTGAAGTACATTTGTGTCATTTTCAAATGTCACTTCACCTATAAGTATTGGATTGTCATGTTTTAAAAGTTTAAGTATTGAATTGTCACATTTTAAATTTTGGGGATCAAATGGCACTAGGCATAAATCACACAGCATTAATCGAGAATTTTCCGATATTAGGGAAATAAAAACCTCACGTGGAACATCATAACTATGCAGATATTAATTCTCTCCAATTTTATTTTATAGACTTTATTTGGTTAATTTACATGTTAAATGAAAGAATAAATGATTTTTTTTGGGGGGAATTTATGTTTAATTATATGTATGACTATGAATAATAATTATGGACAAACGAGACTCCTATACTAGTGGACAGCCTCACTAATGGATGGTCCTACCGCTTTTTTTTTTTTTTTTTTTTTTTTTACGCTGAACCAGATGGTAGCAATAAACATCTCAAAGTTTTATATTAGCCACGTGGTAGTTGGTAGCTTATTATTTATGGAAATGTACATTACAAATTCTGAATTCCAGTACAACCTTACACAATTCAAAATTATAAATACCCCCACCCTAAAACACCATGGCTTACGAATTGACATCAATTCTGAGCTTGCACTTACCCCAACTGTATGGTGGGGCTAAGAATTTTTAGGGTGTGCTAAACAGTCATTCTCCCCTATAATTTAATCATAGGGATCGGTGGCTAGCTTTTATTATTGAATAGGATAGTGAATAAAATGTTTCTTCCAATATTTTTGAATCATTGTTCAGCTCGGGAACCGTTAGACAATCGGTTTTGTTTATCCCAAACCCGGCCTCTGGCCAAAAACCGTTGAATTGGTCATTGACCCATTGACCTAGGTGGTGGAATCGTTGGTTTTCAATGGTTTTTGGCTCTTTTTTATTTAATTATTTTATTTTAAATTTTAATATTTTTGATAAAATAGGTTGTCTATTTGAACTGTCAACCCGAAAACTGGTGGTCAGAATAGTTTCACTTTTGGGTCAGTTTTTAAAACCTTGGTTTCTTCTATCAAAAGTAAAAGTATATAAAATAACTCACTAAGAAAGTGAACTTGCTTGCTGCGCAATGTTGCATCTAAAGACTTAGAGGTACAAATCGGGCTATGTTGGGCGGGTATGACACAACTTTGTAGGTTGCTTGTGCTTTAGAAAGTTGTGCCATGCTAGCCCATGGGCCTATGTGGGACGTGCTTGCCTCCTTTGGGTTCCTTAACAGGCCAGCCTCGATATGACCCATGGTACGGGCCTAGGTGGGCCTAGGTTGTTTGTTGAGCCTTGGGCCAAGTTGGGCCATGGCCTCACCTTGGCCATGAGAGGCATTTTTTTTTTTTAAATTTTGAAAAAAGAATGATAAATTAAACTAATAAAATAGATAAAAATTGAAAAAAATCTTAAATTTTTATTTTATATTAACTTTGATGTATACAATTGCTTATATATATGAAATAGAAAAAGTACAACACAATTGAAAATAAAAATTTACATATATTATATATTATTACATAATTATTATACATATGCATAAGGTTTTTAAAACTAGACTAGATAGGGAATCATTCTGGAGTATAGTTCACGATTTGAATTCTGATCGTTTGGTCCGAACGGACAATCCACTTTGACAGAAAAAATAAAAAAAACCCCAAAAAATGGCCAAAAACCATTCCTGAGTCGAACAGTTTGACGGTCCAACTGTCCGAAGCAACTATTTGCTGACCTAATCAATGATTTTTGGCCAAAAAGTAGTTTTAAGATTAAACGGAACCGGTCAATTGACCCTAATTTTTCCTATATGACCGTTCGGTTCGGACCAGTTTTGAAAACATTGCATATACATATACATGTACTACGGCCATGTTGTTCTGACCCACGGGCCTGAAAACCTAAGCTCGGCATCGCCCATAGCCTAACGGCCTGGGGTGTGTGCCGGGCCACGTCGTGGCCCGCGTGTTACAGTAATGGGTCAGCCTGCGGCCCGATTTATATCGGCTCTATAGAGACTTTGAGCCAATGATATTCATAAATCCAATCAAATTTAAAAACGTGAAGCTTACAGTCGCATCAAGATTTTGATCGTGCCTGAAAGGACTAAAACTAAAACAAGACTAGGTTTGGGAATCTCCTTGGATACCTAGACATATCTTTTGAAGCCAGAAATTGTGGCTTGTGAGTTGTGAGGTTTTCCCGGGCCCGGCCCACTTCTCGTGTCTCGGTTCAGAGCACGTGATCACATGGTATTGGGCCGATGAGCAGAGGCCTTCTGCCGTCACTCAAGGATCCAGACTTCTCTCTCTCCCTCTCTGTTCCATGCCAGTCTGATTGCTGCAGCCGTCAAATATCATTCACAGCTGGCGGCATGAATGCCCAGCTGTTTGGTCATTAGGTAAACATTAATATTAATATTTATATCTAATTACTAAAATAACCTAAAAAACAAGTAAAATAAGATTTCACCCTTTTAAAATTTAAGCATTTTAACTTTAGCCCCCGAAACAATTCTTGTTCAGCGGTTGAGACTTGAGAGTTTGAAACTTGAAAGGGAGAATAGCAGAATATACCCGCGTCCTCTCCTCTGTATACCAAACCCCCGAATAGTAACATGGAAAACCGAAGCCGCGTTTAGTTTATCAATTTATATAAACGATAAAGAAGAAAGAGGCCGCGTCTGCGATTTCATTCTTCCTTCTTGACCATTCCTCTCTAGATTCTAGACGTCTTTTTCTTGGATCCTTCCTCTTTCCCTTTCTTCTTTCATTCTTTGTTGTAATGGCGTCGATATAAAAATCATCATCAACGGCATGAATAACTAATAGAAACTGAAGCCACTTCTCCCTCTCGTCTGAAACGAAAATGCTCTCTTTACAATCAACTGTTCCCTTCACTCTCACATTGTTCGTCCTTCTTCCCCTTCTTGTTCTCTTAGAGCCGTCTCATGCCATTCGATCGTTTCCTATCAAAGAAAACGGTGACAGAGGATGGTTGCCCGTATTCGCCGAAGCGCCGGAGTACCGAAACGGTGCTGAATGTCCAGTCTCCTCTTTCAAAGGTTGCATAACGTCGTGCGATCCCTCCCATGTTCACATCGCCATGACTCTTGACTCGGAATACCTCCGAGGTTCCATATCTGCGGTTCACTCCGTTCTTAGGCATGCTTCTTGCCCTGATAATGTATTCTTCCACTTCATAGTCGCAGAGTCTGATCCAGCGAGTCCAAGATCCCTCGATCAAGTTGTCCGCTCTACTTTTCCTTCTCTGCATTTCAAGGTTTATCTATTCAAAGAAACCGTCGTCAAAAATCTCATCTCTTCTTCCATTCGCCAAGCCCTCGAGAACCCCTTAAACTATGCAAGAAACTATTTGGCTGAGATACTTGAGCCCTGCGTCGATCGTGTCATCTATCTCGACTCCGATCTCGTCGTCGTTGATGATATACAGAAGCTCTGGAACATCTCTCTCAGTGGGCTTCGAGTCATTGGTGCGCCCGAGTATTGTCACGCGAATTTTACCAGATATTTCACGGATGGATTTTGGTCTGATCCTGCTATGTCGAGGATTTTCTTAGGGAGGAAGCCATGCTACTTTAATACGGGTGTGATGGTGATGGATCTGGTGAGATGGAGGCAGGGCAATTACAGGAAGAGAATAGAGGGCTGGATGGAATTACAGAAAGAGAGGAGGATCTACGAACTGGGTTCGCTTCCGCCATTCCTACTTGTTTTTGCCGGAGATGTTGAAGCTATCGATCACAGATGGAACCAACATGGTCTTGGTGGGGATAACGTACTGGGTAGCTGCAGGTCTTTGCATCCTGGTCCAGTGAGTTTGCTGCATTGGAGCGGCAAAGGGAAACCGTGGGAGAGACTGGATGCTGGTACCCCATGCCCACTTGATCATCTCTGGTCACCTTATGATCTATACAAACCTCAGCACCAACAACAAACACAATAGAAACAACGGCTGCGACATTTGCACAGATCGTTTTTAATCAGATTTTGAATTTTTTTCTTCTTTGATTCTTTTCTATCTTTATTCGTCCAAGGCGATTCTTTCACATGTGTATACCGAAGATAATAGAAGAGATTGGATTTTCAATTTTTCCCCCTTTTTGATTGATTGATTTTGTTATATCTCATGGTGGATCTCTTCTTCTTTACTCCTCATTCTCTTTCTTTCAAAGAAGAAGTTTGTGTATGCGCTGTTTCATCTGGCAACGTTTATGGCACCCACGTGTGAAGAGGTGGCTTTGATTTCTCGTTCTGTTTCAAGGAAGAATTATCTCAGAAAGATTTATCAATTGATATGCAGTTCACATGTTTCATAGATTCTTCGGTTGTTTGTTCCTGATTTGGTTTTGATTCTGTCCGTTTCAGGATTCGGCTGCCAAGAGTAGAGAGATGGTAAAAGGGACTCTTGACCATTTTCTTCTTCCGTTTTCTCGAAGCTTCTTTGGCCTTTTGGTTCGGGGTTGCTGCCTTCAGCATGTAAATCAAACACCTGTCCTATTTTTTTGGCACTCAAAAAGGAGGAACAAAGACTGTTCGAATGGGGCTTGCACTGATTGACTGATTCCGGTTTCCTCAAGGAGACGTATTCGTTATTGCGTGAAGAAGTCAATTTGAACTCAACTTTTCATTTTCTTCTGTGATTACCCAACTCGGCCCAACCGGAGGGCTTTTACGTCAATAGACGTGGTGAGGGACAATATGTAGTTAATAGTTATGTACCATGCATACAGTGAGCTTTTTGATAAAAACTTGAAAAGGAACGCTCTGTTATGTCTTCTTGTGTGAAAGGTTGCTCGCATTTATAGTTATATAGAGGCTAGTGGCTAGAGCGTTCGTAGTTGAATTTGTGCACCGAGTTCAGTGAGACAACAGACAACGAGATTACGGGATAGTTTTGAGGGGTGACACATCTACCTAATAACTAACAACGTGACAATATATTTTGTTCGAACATGGGCACATCAACCCATCAAGGTGTCCTATTCCTAAGGAGGCTAACTACAGACGAAAATTTCACCATCCAAGAAGGGGAAGAGAAAAGGAGCCAATTTGACAAACTCGAGGGATCAAAAAAACAGTTCGAATATAAATTTGATCGAATGGTTTGTCAATCGCTTCTCATGGAAGGTCAAAAGAAGAATGGAGAGACAAAAGACCAGAAAAAAAAAAAAAAAGGAAAGATGAAAAGGAAGCGAGGGACGGAACCGGACGAGGTCATAAAGACAATATTCCTAAACCTGGTCCTAATTCACGAAAGTTTTCTGGGTGGATCGATCAGTGTGGTTGGATAAAGTGTTTTTTGGTAGATAAAAGATTATATAGGGTGATTGGTTCCGTGGGCGTTTATTCAATAAATGCTGATGCATAAGTATTATTTCAGTAGTTTTTTTTTTTTTTCGTGAGATAGGATCTTTTCCTTACATTGGGCGCTTTATTTGCGCCTCACATGCACATCTCTCTTATTTATAAGTTATTATTCAAGGAAGATGTTCCCAATGCATTGTGGATGTGCATGTAAGGTGCCCTTGTGTGAGAAGTAGATCCCGTTCCTTTTTTGGTATGTATCGAGAATGATAAAAGTGGATTTTGGTTTTTGTGCATGTCAACTGTTTGTAGAAGTCATTTGATGTAAAACTTAATAATGCCTAATTGTCATAAATGATTGTAACTATTATATTTCTTGGTTTTACCAAATACAAACATCCAATAAAAAAACATAAACAGAATTTACAATATGTTCCAGCAACCATTAAGATGGTCTATCCCACTGACTTCAGAAAATGATCAAAGTTAGCCCTTTGAATTATCTCGAGTGAGACAGAACTAAAAGAACACATAACAAATTTAATCAGATCCAGTTGAACCACATAACAAACACCAAAGTGGAAGGAGAGGAGTAGAGCTTGAAAGGGAGCAATAACGAAGTAGAAGTAAGGAAATTCAGGTTTAGATGAGAAAGCCAGAAAGGGAAATCAGATTTGCTTGCTTGATAGGCTTTGGCCGACAATAACTAGATTTATTCTGAAATGGCACTTAAAAATTAATAAGATACTCAATTTGGTAAGACTAGAACCATATATACACAAAGACTATAATTAAGCTGAGGTTGGTTTGTGGGCTTCCTAATGGAAGCCCAGTTTATTCATTTTGTGGGTGGGGCTTGAAACTTGAAAGGCCATGACAAGGATATGGACCCCAACTGTCAATACAAATGGGCCCTACGCTATACATTATTTCAAGATGTGGGTGAAATGAATTTGTTAGGCCTATCAAATATCATAACCAACTCGGAACTCCAAAAATATGATCCTAACAATGTAGTTAATGAGATTTATGTTCAGTGTTCACCCTTCTTCTGCACTGCACTTCACCGCACTGCACTGCACTGCACTGCAGTAGCAGTAGATTTGGAAGAGAGTACAAGGTAAAGCTGGCCGACAATGCTCGAACACAAGTGGGCTCGTGCCCACCATACCTTTCAACACCCAAACCCATTTTGATGGATGGGCCCAGACGAGACGTGGAAGTAATCGGGCTGGGGCCTGGTTGATTTTTGATTGGACGCTCTACGGTCACGTGTAAACTCGCTAAATATCAGGCAACCTTTTTAACCTTTCCATTTCTCTTCCATCAATGCGTACTTTCTCAACACCGTGTATGAAAGAAAGTGCAGTAAAGAAAAGAAAATTGCAGAATGATCTCTGCGATACATTCTCAGTAGGTTGCTGAAAAGTATGAAGAAGATAATGGAATAGTTTTGGATAAGTTCTAGGGCTCTAGATACTTCTGAACAACCTGGCTTTACACAACAATAATTCTGGTGATGATGAGTGGGGTAATTGGGTTTGGAGTTATTCTTTAGAATAATCAGAAACAAACAAGGATCTAGTATCGGTAAAAAGCTTCTTTAAGTTTATCAAGGGGAGAACAAAAGGAAATAGATGGAGGCACATGTTCTCCGTTCTTCTTCACTTTCTTGGTTCTATCCTCCCTTTTTCTTCTCTTTTGTCTCCATTCTAATCTTCTTGTACTGATCACTGTTCGGTGTCACATGTTGGCTGCGAGGTTTTAATTATCCCTCTTTCAGGGACAGCTCTGAACTCGATCCTGATCTTCTAGAGATGAACTATATGGTCGAATCGACGATGGATGCTCTCGAAGGCGAAAATGGGGTAACCAACTGGAACTGTCTTCCCCAACCCACTTCTTCTTTAATTTCGTTATAATTGTTGTTTCCATGTTCTGTGTTTTTGTTTGTCGATGAATGTTCGTTGATTTCCGGTTGTATGTATGTGTTTGCAAAATTCTCAAGTTCTACTCTTGCTTCTGCTTGGTCGTTTTTATGATGTATCCTGCCGTTTCTTGCTTCAACTTTAGTGGTTGTTTTGTTGCCTATGAAACCAACAGATGGAAAAACCAACTTCTTCTAAGTCTGTTCTTGAGGTATCGGTCTCGTTTGGAAGATTTGAGAACGACTCTTTGTCTTGGGAGAGATGGTCGTCTTTCTCGCCAAACAAGTACCTGGAAGAAGTTGAGAAGTGTTCCACCCCCGGATCGGTTGCTCAGAAGAAGGCTTATTTTGAAGCCCATTACAAGAAGATTGCTGCTCGAAGGGCTCAACTGCTTGAAGAGGAGAAGCAAATGGAAGCTGATAAACTGAGGTTACATGAAGCAAGTAACGGAGATCTAGTTGGTAATGTCCATGGGCATAATGCTGAGTTCGATCCATCGAACTTTGAGAGAACTACTGAAGCCACTGAGCTGGAGAGCAACTCAACCAGTGTTTCCTGTATCACCAATATTGAGGAGCCAAACGAGAATAATACGGTCTCTGGAGAATGCCAAGAGCCAAGTGATGAGGAAGCTATTATGGATGAGCCAAACAAGGTTGCTAGGGTTCCAGAGTCGAACAAGGATGCTACCGTTGAGGTAGCGTGCCAAATTTCATTGGTTGAGGGAATGGAAGAACTGAAAACCTCAGAGAGCCCGAAATCGAACAAACGGGAGATGGTTGATTTAGTTAAAGAAGACAATCGTTCTCCAGAATTTCAGTCCCCAATGGAAGTGCCACAACAGCCGGGTAATGAGAAAAGTAACATTCAAGATAAAAAGGTTGAGGATGCTAAATTGAAGCCGCCGAAGGAATCTCTTAAGGTGAAGTACCAAAATTCTTCTTGTAATTGGTCTTTTGCAGAAACCATTGCTGTAGACATCAGTTGCTGAACATCGTTTCAAATGGAATTCTTCAGGGAACTCCTGTCATCAAACATAAGAATTTGGTAAGAGAAAGGAAAAAGCCAGCAACACCAATACAGATATCACCACAAATTTCTACCCCTAGGGTGTCTAAGTCTGCATCAGCTACCACTGTGACATCTGCTTCTCGGACTTCTGCAAGGAAGGCAAGCCGTTCGTCTTTACCAAAGAAACAGAATCCTTCAACGGTGGAAAGCAAGAGATCAACTCCCACACTGCACCTGTCTCTTAGTCTGGAACCCACAAATTCTGATTCTGCTACTCATGCCACAACGAGAAGATCTTTCATAATGGAAAAGATGGGAGATAAGGAAATTGTTAAAAAAGCATTTAAGACATTTCAGAACAGTTTAAGCCAACAAAGAACTTCCAGTGAAGCAAGACCTTTGGCCCCCCAGCAGGTTTATGATTTGGTCATTTTACCTTTTATTGACTGCCATGCCAACACTTGAACCAAGTCTTTCTACTTGTTATCTTTATCAATGGCAGCATGTAGGTTGCTGAGTGGTTCTTCAGTTTTGCGTGTCTCTGGTCTCACCATTTGGCTTTTGCAGGTCTTGGTCAAGGGAACAGAACGAAATATGTCTGCTTCAATGAATCTGCGAAAGGAGAAGCAAAGGTAATGTTCACAAAACGAGTAAACAACTCTGCTTACTTAGATAAATACCTGCATTCATGCATGCAATGTATCTGCTTTGAAATGTGTATTCTTTTCTAGTTTTTGTTAACTTTCTGCAAGAAGATAGTTACAGTAATGGATACATGTCAGTTGCTGTCTCTTTTCATTCATCCAACTTCTATAAACCTCAGAATGATCTAATTTCTAAATCTTTATCCTACTAAGTACAGTACCAGGAAGGGAGTGGAAAAGGGCAGATATCAAACAGATCAAGTGGGTCCAAGACAGAACTTTGCTTCAGCAGGGTAAGATTTGTTAATTGGGTTGAATGATAATCGGAATTACTCTAGAATTTGCTTTGAAAATTTGATACACATGCTTATCAATATGAGTCATGCAAATATAAAAGCCCATTTGGACATTGTTATTGATTTATTTTTTATTGGCAAACAATGGACCTAGGATCAAATTACACTGGTTTGACAACTGTTTCTTTTGGACTAATGGTTATGTCATTGGGAGGATTGGTAAAAGCTAGGTGAACGCTTGTTCTAGTCCATCCAATAGATCCAATAGTATCCAATAGGAGGAATGGGCTGCAAACCGTTATTTGCATGTGTATAATGTGTATACTGGTTTGACAACTGTTTCTCTGCAACTAACACATAGGTTGTTTGGCAGCTTAGTAAAAGGTAGGTGAGCACTTGCTTGGACTTGGGAAATTCTTGGAATGCAGTCCAATCAATAGTGGGCAAAATGAGGATTGGGCTGCAAACCAATTTGTGCATGTGTATTATATATACCGGACACATCCTTTAATAGAAAAAGAGCTTTAATTCCTGAACAAAACCCATAATTCTTATTGTTTCATCAATGAAGAAAATGTGTTTTTTTTTTGTGAATATTTGGTTGGTATTTATATTGAAAGCTCAATGCTGAATTGGTTGCTTTATGGCAGGGCTCTCAGAGCAGCTGGTGTTAGTCAGACAAGTGCTAAGTCTGTCCCATCTTCTTCTTTTGGATTGAGAAGTGATGAGAGAGCAGAGAAACAAAAAGAGGTATTCATGAACCTAATTCTCTTTTCTACATATTATATTTATTTTCAAGCCTAAATGATCAGGATGTTTTGTGATGAATCAAATTTTTACACTTTGTTTCATTTCTCTAAGAAACTAGAGGAGAAGTCTAATGCTAAGGAGGTGGAAACTATGCGCCTGGGGTCAAAGACAAAGGTACCCCCCTTCAGATAACAAATACCTCTAGTTGGAGCACAAGTTAGACCACAGTTTTGATGGGCATAAGACCCACCTGAAAGGCTAAGGAGAATACAGAAAAATCATTTCGTACAGGATATCAACATTCCAAGAACGTCTGATACATTGTAATGTCCTTGTAATGTATTATGCAGGTGAAGAAAGAAGCAGAGATTAAAAAGCTGAGACAGAGTCTTAATTTCAAAGCTACACCAATGCCTGATTCTTATCGGACACAGGGGATGTCAAAAACTCGTATAGATAAGGTATTTTGTGGCCTCTATATCATTTGTTATTCTAATTCATGAATATCTTTCATCAAGTTAAACTGTCTACTTCAAGTTGCTCGAGTAAATTCTCATTTTGTGTCCCTTCAAAAGTGCCTATCTCACCAATGTTCCAATTGCTTTAATGATTCCTCCTCAAAAGGGAAGTTACTTGATGAACAAGGAAATGACACACACATGGATCATCCTTCACGAGACCTTACTCTTCTTTTTTATTACCAGTTTGGACAATTTCTGATCCATGTAATAACCCTTATCTTTATTTTTCATTCATCAATTCTAGGCTTTGTATGGACTATTCTGAAACCAAGGTTGGTTCTGGTCGTTATTACTGCTAGTGGATGGGGCAGACTAGCCAAGAATATACCCTTCTTTGTGTTGGGTGGGGGGGGGNGGGGTGTTGATAAGCTGAAGTTGAGCAAAGGCCTGAGAAGAACCTTGGGTATTAACAGCCATGATACTTCTCTGCAAGTGTTATGTTTTTTTTTTACCATATTCATTATCTTCACTAGGTGCATCATTTTAGTGGGCCAGCATGTCGAATGGGTTTTGCCTAACATGGTGGGCCCTCACGTGTTACAGCTTTTGCAGTAACTGTTATCTTGGTATACTCATTCTGCCCACCAAGCATTCATCTTGAAATTTCTGGTTGACACCCAAATCCAAATATAATGAACTCCTAAGCCTGACAATCGGTAGGCAAATTGGAATGAATTTGCAATTTTGACTGAAAGTCGGTGCAAATCCTATATTCATTCTCTGTCTAGCCGTCTCATCTATGGAAACTAAAATTGGAAGGAAAATCCTTACATAATACACGTATTACTTACACTCAGATATTTGAATTTCTAGTGATATTTACACTCAGATATGTACTTGTTCCTTCTTCTGTTGACAATATTTATGATGCATTTTATAATTTCACAGGGAAGTCAAAATCATAAGATTCGTCATGGACCCGAGTCCACAGGTGATACAATTTCATGATAATCTGCTAGACTGCTGTCGAGGAACCAGAAGAAAATATGCTATTGTATCAAATGTAGATCAGTTCGTCTTGAAATAGGCACTGAGATAAGTAACCGTGCCAGCAGCCATTGATGAGAGTAACAGCCTAGTAGGCTGGATAATATGTATAGTCTCAATAGGCAGTTCACATGGTTGATCTTTTTCTGTTGTGGTGGATTCTAGTAATAGTTGAAAGAGAGCTCAGCCAGGTGTGTGTACTATAGCTAGAGAATCTAGTGGAACCCAAAACGGAAAGGCTTGTATTGGCACAAGGTTTTCAAGTTTCCCGAAATCTTTTTATGCATGGAAGCTGTAAACGTGGATCAATCTACCATTAATGGTTATGTTACATAACCACCCTACCCTCTCATAAAGTTCCAAAGCCCATTAAACCAAGCCAACTCAAGTATAACCAGCATGTGGACCATTCCCGTTAAATTTTGATCCAAAGGTGGTGGTTCAATCCGGACCAGAACCTCAATGCGTTTATGGTTGATGTGAATTAAGGACAAAATTTAGGCCCCGTTTGGTTTGCAGGAAGAGGGGTCTGGAATTGGAAATTGAATGGGCTATTTTGATTCCAACTGTTTAGTTGGGTAGAATCAGAATCCCATTTCCATTTTTTATGGAATGGCATTCCCCATTTGAAGGAATGGTCATTCCCTGTCCCTCCCGCGGGAATGAAATTTCATTTCTTCTTATTTCAGCTTTCATTTTCATTCCTGTCTGAACCAAACAAGTTATGGGAATAGGTTATTCTGATTTCAATTCTGACTGCGAACCAAACAGCCCCTTAATCTTTCCGCATATTACACGTCCAGTCCATGACCTACTTCTATCACCGAGTTGAGGATTGAAACGAGCCCTGTCTAGTACTGTTTTCACCAGGTGACAAGTTCAAGCCAAATTCTCTTGCCGCAAGTCCATATTATGCTCTCTCCTCTGTGACCACTTTTTATATTGAGAGAGAGAGAGAGATGTGGTGACCGTCCGAGCCGAGCCCCATAGTTTTAAAAAGGAAATAAAATTTCATAATTCAATTTGAAAACATTTACACAACAAAAATTAGAGTAGACGTGTAAATGCACACACAAAAGGGCATAAGTGAATTTGTTGCCATGAATCATGTAAGCTCGCGAAGGACATAACTTCTGAGTTAAAGAACAAGAAGGGGCCTATGAATAAATTATATATGAATCGCGTCCAATAGGCTTGCAGCAAAGAATTCTTCAGTCTCACCCCCTCTCCTTACATTCGAATGTTGTAACGTTTGAACAGCTCAAAGCTGAGATAAGCGTCTTCTCGATCTTAAGCTCTCTGAATATATGCTACTACGATACTGAATGAAGCTTTCTGAATATATGCTACGATACTGAATGAAAAGAATCAGGACATCAGCTCTACCGAATTCAAGGCCATTACTAATCAGCATATATACTCCAGCAGAAAGAAATATTTTCAATTTCAAGGAATATGCAAGTATGTAACAAACGGGAGTAGAAATGAAAATATACATGCATGTCTCAGACATGTGTTTCTTCCCCCATCTTTTCATGCATTGATCTTCGAACAGGACAGATTAACAGAAGATAAACCCTAAAACCATCCCATAGATGATCAGTGTTGATGCTTGGATTGGCCGAAGACAACATGGTAAGTTCACTTCCCTGCGATTGGACAGGGCCATCTGAGCTTACATCAATCAGTTAGATAGAAATTTGCTTTTATGGTTAAAAAGGTTGTCGATAGATGCATCAAATCCAAGAGATCATACTATTGCTTCAAATTTTACTGTTGTAAGTCATGCATTGCATCTGAATTGACTAGTTTCTTTTTAACTGCATAATACATACATACATGCATACTTACATACAACTTAGCTATATGTGACTGTTTTTTTAGTTGTTAGTATACCATCTCTTGATCGACAGACAGAGCACTCTGTTTTGATTTCTAAACAATGTCATTCTTTTTCATGTTCAGACTTGTGAGTAGAGCTTCTTACTGAATACAAAACATGAGGCTAAGTGAAAAGAGAGAGACATGAAAAAGGCGTAATTAATTAAACCCACTTCAAGTTGCTGCAACCATGGTTTTCAAAACCGGATCGGACCGGACAGTTGGACCAGAAAAACTGGGAATCAGTCACCTGGCCGGTTCCATTTTCCCCCAAAATCATTGATTTTGATCAACAAACCGCTGAACCGGCTGGTTAACCATTCGAACCATTTGAACGGTTTTGACCGTTTTTCAATTTTTTAATTTTTTTGTCAGAACGGACTGGCCATTCGAGTTGAACAGTCGGACCGTTCAAACCGGTATCCGAACCCCTGACCGGTTCGGTCACCGGTTCCTTTTTTAAAACCATGGCTGCAACCTCAGCTACTAAATTAATTTCATGTTTAAGTTAAATGAGATATGGAGGAGACAAGAAGTGGCAGATGACTAATGACCAACTGTTCGCTTATTAGGGAAACATCAACAGATATCTCTATCTATTTTCCCAAAAATCCCTAGTAAAACAGGAATAAGATTTTATGTGTACTAAATTTCAGCATTTTAACTTTTAGCCCCAAACAAGATTTTATGCTTTTATTATTTATCTTTTAATTTGTGCAGCCCATATACTCAAAATTTACACTTTCTTCCCTTCTATTTTCACTCTTCATCTTTTCCTCAGCCTCTCTTCCTTCCCCAAACCCTAATTTGTGTAGGCCATGATAGATTTCGACTATACAAGTTAAATAGTTGGGTTGTTTGAATCTGATTTTCCCCTCCTTTGGCCACTGTTGTTTCTCGCAAATAATTATTATATGATTGCGTTAAAATTTTTTAAGCTGTCATGTGACTTAGACTTGGCTAGACTTTGAAGTTAAAAATCACCATTCACATTTGGTACTGGAATTTATTGTTATTCATGAAGCTTGAATTCTTGGATTGGATCCTTCTTACATTTAAAAGTATAGAAATCTATCCTTAAGGCTGAGTTTGGAAGGAGTACAAAGTCAAATTTGTAGACCATAAAACCTTATATTTTGTATTATTTTGTATGCATTTATGCTGTACATATTTGTATTTATACTGCTTCCAAACTGAGCCTTTAAGAGATCATTATTTGAGCAACTGGTCACTAGCTATGATTAACAATCCAATGGATCGATGTGGATTAGACTAGATCCTGTATGATCTTCTCAGCTATACTTTTTTGAAGGTTTTGATGAGTGTAATTCAATCAAACTCAAAAGACCTAAATTTTAATATAGAGCCAGTGAACCTATAGTTCTAAAACACATTGAGGCGAGGTGGAGCCAAAACATCTAGCCTTGGGCACCTTGCCCCTCTACTAAGAGGCTATGGTCTCCATTTAGACTTACGCCTCATTGCCTTGCGCCTCAAATTGGTGAGGCGCAAGCCTCGTATAAAAAACACCAAAATTAAAAAAAAAAAAGATAATATTATAAATTAATTATAATAATTCTTAAAATTTAAGAAAAATAATTATTTAGTTGTTTATAAATAAAATAAACCAAACTAAACTAAACTAAAAACTTCTCATAATACTTCTTTGATATGTCATTTGTTGTTCTCTTACTAAATACACGTTAGAATAGGGTTTCCTTTTCCTAAATCGAATTGCAATGAACAAAAATACCCCTGCACAAGCAAATTTTGCTTTGGGTCCCCTTTTACTAGTTTTAACTTTTAATGCTTCATCATTTATAAATTAAATTGTACTGAAAAAAGGTCTAATATATAGATTTATGTAAAATAAAATTAAAAAAATGTATCACATTAAAAAGAATATAATTTAATTATATTCTCTCTCTCTCTCTCTCTTTCTGAGTTTAACATCTTCATTACATTCACAACCCCAAAGTTATCCCTGCTATTATAATCAATTTTGTTTTGTCTCTAGCATGCATAAAAATAGGATGTATAGCAAGGTGAGTTTCATCAATAATATACTTTAATGACAGATCGAAAGGGATTAAAAAAATGCATAGAAATCATGAAGAAGAAAAGCTATCCAAATAATCATATTTAGATCTTATACTGTATTTGGAATTAAGTACTGAAAAAAAATATAAAAAAGAGAAGAAAGAAAAGATGGTAACATGAAAAGATGCAACAATATAAGTAGAAGTGGAGCATCAACTATCAAGTGTGACTGATAGGCCTAGTTAGTGGAATTATAAATTTAAATAAGAATATTTATATACTATAAAGCTATAATAAGATTTTGTAAGATAAAAGATTAATTGGAACTGTGAAGGTGTAGAGGATTATATTGGAGGCTGTAAGAAATCAAGTATTTTTCTTTTTTGGACTAAGAAACATGACATATCATTCATAAACAGGGGACCTTGATACCATGCAAGTAACAATCAAGCTAGATATTTCATATTAAATTTAGAATTGATAAAGCGACCTACAGAAATAATAGCTGTGTATAATTTGGATAGAGATATTAATATCATTGGCATCTGAAACCAATGATGTTTAATTGCAGAAGAAGAATTAATTAGTGTGCTAAGCAAAAACCAATATCTGAAAGATGAGAATTGAACTACCAGAGCCTAGCTAGGAGCTAGCTTGAAGCCATAAATAACTTCGAGAAACATGAACTAGATTTTTCTTCTGGTTTACAAAAACATGGGGTAGATGCATGAGCTTGAAGAAAATCAGAAGTTTACTGCATATAATTAAGCCCCCATCTCATCATCAAAGAAAGCAATTTTTTTTTTTTAAAAAAAAAAAAAAACATTATATATAGTTGCTTGATTACCCAACCATAAAAAGATCTAGAGAAAGAACCATACGATTGGAATAGAATTCAACCACAGGGTTAGAGCTTTGTTGAAATTGCACCCAAGAAAACAAATATTCCATCAACTTCTTATAATTGGCATGATAAGTTGTTGATGAGTAAATCGAAGGAATTAAGAACCATGTTTTGGGGATGCCCGAGGGATCTTCAATGGATATAAGGCGATCCGCTTCCAATCACATTTCCTACTGAAGCTTCTCTGTTCTCGCAGAAAGAAAACCTTCCGGTCATCAATATGCCACATTCAATCCTGCGTAAGAAAGAGAAAAGTAAAACACTATCTAAGAATTCATGGCTTCGAATTTTCAACAAACAGTACTGACAGCAGCTCCGTTAAGACTTCATGACTACTCCTGCAGCTGATTGGGATGGATGGCTACTAGCCTACTACTACTATTAATCTATATACTCATCATACTGACGATTGGGATGGAGATGGAAACAAGTAGTGCACACGATGCACATATACGGAGATG